ACTTTGCCCAAACCAAGGCCTATAGAAGCGTGGGAAAAACGAAATCAGTGAGTCATGCTTCCTTCCTGAGAGGCACATAGAATATCCATTTTTAGGAATGATTTATTAAAAAAAAAAGTGTACAACCATATCTGTGAAAAGATGGTATTCTTGACTATTGGTCAACATTTGATATCCTTTTACAAAGAAACAATGCTTCATATATTCATTACTGAATTATAATTGACTTTCTGGGATTTCAAAGTATCAAATTTCTGATGGATGTTTTATTTGAACAAAATCCCGGAGAGAGTGAAATTAAATATCATTTGAGTCCTAGAATATGAGGACTGTTAAGGGTTATGAACATATACATTAAAAAAAATGCAGCTAGGATATTTAGTCAGAGAAGGGAAAAGTTGTTCTGAGCCATCATCGAGATGGAAAAATGAAAGACAAGGTGTGGGATGGGGATCGAATGCTGGGAAAAAATGAGTAGAATGCTAGAACCAAGCGAGGTGAAAATCTATGAATCACAGCGATCAGACGTCTATAGGAATTAGCCAAAAGGAAAGACACTGGAGGTGGTATGGTTCCCTATCTATTACCCTTCTTGATCTCCAGAACAGCTTTTAGTGGTGTATTAATATGGAAATGAATCCCTTCAGTACTGCACATGTTGTTTGACAATGTAAATGTGAAGTCTTCTGATACAATTTCTACATTTGTTTTATCAACACTTGAAATATTTTGAGGTAAAGCAATGGGAAAAAACTAAGAACTAATAATAATTCTTAAAAAAAGATAAATCTCAATTAGAACATTATAAAGACAATAAGGAATAATATGACAAACCAACTAAATAGCATATAAGATCATTATTATATCTCACCTACATATGTAATATAATTTCTTTATGATAAAAGTAGAGGACTAAGATGGAAAATTCTTGTTATGAGTTTTATGTTGGGAGAGAACTTGAAGGCAATTTAGTCTAAATTCCAATATAGCAGAGAAAAATCCCACAAACACTGCATGGTAGCTAAAGCAGCAGGAGAAAACACTTGGTTGCTTTGTTAGTTTTGTCAATGGTAGGCCTATTGGGTTAGCATGACTAGCAAAAATAAGATAAGCTGAATGTATTGGCTTCATTTAACATAGCCTTAGTTTATGACAAAATTAAATATAAACTATCACTGACGTGTGAATAGAAAACTCATCATGTAACTACTACTAGTATCCATCCTTCAAAACTAAACACAGGGTTATTAAAGACCAAGAATACTACTGAAGATAAATATACTTCTAAACTTTTGGAAGTACTGAAAACAATTATTATAATCAATTATAAGACTGATGTCCCTGGCAGAATATGACTGAATTGTTCTGTTCAGCATGGCATTTCTTATTTCATAATAATTTCAGAAGGTATTATTAAGCAGTAAGGAGTCCTGCCCTTAACTAATGAATTTAACAAGATCAGATTAAAAGAAATTTACTGTCGATGACGTAAAAAGTCTCTAGTCTTAAAGGTGCTCAAATATATCATATTTTTTAATTTTACTTTTTCCCCTAACTTACCTTTCAAGTTATGTTGATATTCAATGGTCTGTTGTAGCCCTTTTATCATATTATGAAGAGTAGCACATTCTAAAACATAAAAGATAAATTTATTTGAATATTATTTGCTTTCTTTTTGGAATTATTCTCTCAAAGTTGAAATACTTAAAATAATGTTTAATTGACAATTATGAGACAATAGAACAGCTGAGTATCTCAAAGTCAATTATATAATAAATACTTTTAAATCACTCTTTAAGTCAAATGCATTCCAGGATTGAGTAATGAGTTTTCTAAGGCTCAATAACTCCAGTATGGTGGGGACTCCCCCATGTGCCTTAGCAACCACTGCCCTAAAAGTAAGGCTTATTTGAACATGTCTGGAAAAGTATGAGATATGTATCCAAGTGAATTTTCCATATAAGAACATCCCAAGGAAAGAGGGTCAAGATGCATTAAGTTCTGTTCCAAGACAGAGAGCCAGAGCTGGTGAGAAGGTATCATTTGGGAGAAGATAGTGCTTTTCTTCCTCTGTCCTCCAAGCTGTCCTCTTAGTTCTCATGCCTGAGTCCAAGGCAAGGGAGTAGCTAGCAATAGGAGGAGTGAAAACTGTGTGTCTTGTTACAAGGCATCAGCAACTTTGGTGCCAATGACTTCTTACATAATGGGAGATGGGGAGTCTTCTTTGCAAGCATTAGTGCCCTGACATATGCCTATAAGCTTTCAGTATATCCTTGGGTATCACCACCAGCAGCTCCACCTTTGATGGGTAGCAACAGTGGTGGAAACTTCTATAACTGTAAGCAGTCCACATGACTGTAAGCTCCAGGGTAGCGGGGACTGTTTTCTGTCTTGTTTATCATTTCTCCCTAGTACTTAGAAGACTTGTGGGCCCTAACAGGTGTTCCATAAATATTTGTTGAGTGATTGATTGATAGGCAATATAGTAAAAAAAAAGGGGTAAGTAAGAAACTGTGATGTGAAAATAATGTATTATATTGCTATTCTAAGTGCTTGGCAAATATTAAATCATTTAACCCTCTTAATCATATGACATTGGTTCTGGTATTTGCCTCATTTTACATAAGAAGAACTTGATATGCAGAAGTTTAGCAAATTGTCCAAAGTCACACTTTTAAGTAGTAAGTGGTAGAGCTACAACATGAACCCCAGCAATCTAGCACTAAATCTACGATTTTAACTACTTTACTACCACCAAGACGACCATTGCAGGAGCACTTCTTCAGAGTAAGTTGAGTAGGTTGAAAGCCCTGAAAAGAGGGCAAGAACAGAACTGCAGAGACTCTGTGATAATTACTGCTATCACATTTTTACTATAAGGTTAAGAAACAAGTTACTAGCTAAATATATAATGATGAAAACTTCCTGAAAGAGTAACTTGATATTTTTAAAAAGAAAGATAACTTTAAAGTTTGAGGGCAATTTCACTTTTATGTGCCTGGCTTAAAAGCTAATAAATATTGAACCTTGTTATCTTTCTTTCAGTTTTAGAGGCCCATGGCCAATATTCAGCTAGTATGTGCTAGTGTGACATACTGACTAGTTTCTATTCTAGTTGGGCATCCGTTTTGATGGTTAAATATTAAATACCACATTTGTATCTAACAGTAAAAGTTGTCTAGGTCTAATAAAGCACTATTATTGAATATTTATTCTGAATAATACTTGTATTACACTAAGTGCATTATAACTACTACCCCAATTAACATTCAAACTAATACTGACAAATTGGTATCATTACCGTGATTTTACAAAGGGAGAAAGTCACCCACAGAGGTCTGGTTACTTGCCAAAGATTCCACAGTATATGGAAGATATAGATTTGAACATTGGTTTTTCACACTTCAAATCTTGTGCTCTTAACCTGCTATTCTCAATACTTCCTCAGGAATTGTACAATATGCTGATGAAACCACGAAATAGGAAATAAGAGAAACTGGATTAGAGTTTTCTCTTTTTCACTTTGTAGCTATGACACTCTGGGTAAGCTGTCATTCTCGTATATTAGACTGTTCTGACAACCAAATGAAAAAATACACTTTCTAAATTCACTTACAAATATTTAACATTGTTATTGTTGTTGTTTTAATTTCTTGCCTCTGTGTCCCATAATAATTCATATACATCACTCTTCCCTATTTTCACATTGCATTTTAGTTATCTGTGGTTTCTGACACTAGACAGTGAAATCTTTCAGGTAAAGATATCTTTATTTTTTTTGATATTCCTTGCATCTAATATGGTGGCTATTTCAAAGATGTTTAATAGTTTTTGTATTTATTGACTAAATGGAAGAAACAATACTGTGAGAGGAGAGGGCAAAACTTCGCCTTTCAGGTAGAGGTCCTGCATTCAGTCTCCATGTATTTTTTTCAACTACACTAATAGAAATGGAAGTATTTTGCAGAATTTTGCTTTATTGAAGTATAAAGTTCTCCTCCTTCCCATTCCCTATCTTTCCTGCCACCTACACAGACAAAGTTCGCACCATTCATTTTTTTTCTTTTGCTATTTCCCAGTAATAGAATGATGGTTAAATTATATTTGGCATCACCTACTTGATGTATGTTATTGAATTAGCTGCTACAATTAAAAATGGAGGCATAGACCCTGCCATCACTTGTCTTTGTGCCTTTAGAGGTATGAATTCAGAAATTGATGAAATATGGTACCTCAGGAATCGGCAAATTGAAAACAGAACCCTGAAACTGAAAGTATAAGTTTCAAAAACATGTACTTTCATAATTAGACCACAAGGTGACTCTCTCAATGCATTTTTTAACAAAGGAAACTGGCTTAATTAGGAATTCTTCATAAAGTAAAATACCATTCATTATTTTAGAATAATAGCTTTTAATTCTCTTTGTAAGCCATTACCTACATTATCATTTCTTTTGGACTTTACAGTGTAATTTGAAGAATACTATCTTATCCAGTTCTTAAAAACTAGAGCTAGGAATATTAAGCTACCACTTATACGATATAATTTAGTAAATCAGTGATTATTTTGAGGTCAAATTTAGGCTCTATCATTAACTAGCAATTTGGGCATTAACATTTATTTCATAAAGCAGTTGGAAATATTAAATACAATTCTGAAAAGGATTTTTTAATAGTATTTGGTCCTTGATATCAATATTATTACTACCTTGAAGTGGCAAAGAAATTCTTTACTGGTATTAAGTGTAGAAAATATCAAGATCTCATTCTTTGACGCTGAACGAGTCCAATCATATATTGTTGTTCTTCCACTCTAAGTGAATTAGTACCTACTTTGCTTTCTAAGTTATCATTCTCACTTGTTCTTTTATTTCTGGTATGTATTACTCAGCAAAAAGGCCATTAGATTTAGCATAAGTATGATTGGATTTTAAAAAAGTATTTGATTTATGTTTTTCAAATAATACATACCCATGAGACACAAGTTTAGTCAAAAGTGAGTATCTCACCAATCTCTGCCCTCAAACTAACCAGTTTTCCTCCCACCAAAGCAACTGTTACCAGGATGCTGTTTATCTTTCCAGAGATACATAAATATATAGGGCAGAGGGTGTTTGTGTGTGTGCAAAATAACATACTATTGTGTACATTGTTGTTTTCCTTTATTATATGTTGGTGACTGTCCTATATCATATAAACCTACATCACTTTTAATCAGTTACATAGTATTTTATTAAATAAATATACCGTAATTTATTTAACCAGATATCCACTGATAGATGTCATACTTGGGAAGGCTTTATCCATTCTCAAAAACATAAAAAACAAAAAGCTCTATATTCGCTTCTAGTTTTTATGTGTGTGTGTGGCTTTATTTTTTGAGCTTTAATTAACTTTAGTTTTTAGAAGTTTTAGATGTTCAGAAAAATTGGGAAGATATTAGAGAGTTGCCAAATATCCTATATCTGGTTTCCTCTATTATTAACATCTTACGTTAGCGCGGTACGCTTGTTACAATTAATGAACCAATGTTGATTATTAACCAACATGATTATTAACTAAAATCTATATTTTGATTTTCTTAATTTTTACCTAATGTCCTTTTTCGGTTCTGATTCCATCCACAATACCACACTACATTTAGTTGTCATGTCTTCTATGAGTCCCCCTTTCAGAGTTTTCTTATTTTTGATGACCTTGAAAGTTTTGCAGTATACTGGCTGGGTATTTTGTAGTACGTCCTTCTATGTGAATTTGTCTGATGCTTTCATTAGATGAGGTCGTGGGGAGGAAGACTATAGAGGTAAAGTGCCATTTTCATCATATCATACCACAGGTACTTACCTGCAACATGACATCAAGTTGCCTTGATTACCTGCCTTAGGTCATGTAAGTCAGATTTCCCCACTGTCTGCTCTCCACCACCCCATTTTCCGTATTGTACATTTCATTGTAGTGAAGAAAGTCACTACACACAGCCCACAGTTGATGAGTGGGATGTTCTGATACACTTCCTTGAGGGCAAATCAATAAGTTATTTGGAATTCTGCAGAGATAGATCTCTTTGCCCTCCCTTCTTTATTTATTCAGTCATTTATTTTTATCAGTATGGACTCATGGATATTTATTATATACTTTGGGTTACAATCCAATACTGCTTTATTTTGTTGCTCAAATTGTTTCAGCTTTGGCCACTGAGAACTCTTTCAGTTGCCTCCTGTGTCCCTTTGACAAACCCCCATCATTGTGGAGTTTTTTACTTTTTGAGCACTTTCTTACTTTCTGAGCCTACAAGATGCTTCAGGCTCATCTCATATAGTTCTTGCCCTAGTCTTAGAATCAGCCAATCAGTTCCTTTTTATTATAAAGTGGTATTAGAAACCAAGATCTCAATGCTAGGTGCACTTGTTGCTACCGGGGTATTGTTGATTCTATGCACTCTCAGTTGACATAGCAAGGAGTTGTATGTATGTGGCTTATTTTTTTCTTTTTCTGATACCCAGCACTTTATTAGTAAACATCCTTGATCTAAGAAAGGGGAGGCTGGGATGGACAGGACTAGCATCCATCTAGGGGGATTTTCCTGGCCATCAGGCGGTTTCTCCATGCAGGTTTAGAGGAAACACCCTCATGGATGAAACCCACAGAGGGCAGCACTGTGACGGACAAGCAGTGGGGTAGGAGGGGTGTCCTGCGTACAGCGGGGCCCTTGGAGCAGCAGGGCTTCCATGTCGGGCATAGGTGCACCTTCAGGGAACTTCTCCTAGTTCTAGGCAACATCGTTGCAGCACACCGCAGACCAGGTGCTGAGCATGGAATCGGTCCAACACGGCGGTTGTCAGTGGTCCAGGGCAATGCCATTCAACACATGCTTCTGGAAAAGCATGCCCATCTCTGATGAACTTGAGAGAATTCAGGCTCTCTTTGTACCTGGCATTCCCCTGATGCCCAGAACTGGTTGCATAAGAAGCCCAGCATTACCAGGCCTGAGGCAGAGGTGTCAGTGTGGCTTGTTCATCTGAGTGTCCTTTTAGACCTTTGTGCCTCAGAACAGTGCTACTTTCTCGATGGGCGGCACCTTACCAGACCGGACACCCAGGCTCCCTGTGGGCCAAGGGGTGCACAGAAAATATGCAGCGCAAGGAGCCACAGTGGGGAGGGAGGCTGCTGGGAGCTGAGCAGAGCACATGGCATGGATGTCTGAAAAGTGAGGGGAGAGCTTCAGCCTCGGACAGCCCATTTTAACACTAACATTTTGACCCCTCTGAAATTTCTTCTGGTGTAATTGCAAGGCAGGAAGTCAACTGTACTTTTTCCATGTATCTGAAGACCTGGACTGAGCCTTGGATTTGCCATTTCTCAGCTGAGTGGGCTCAGACAGGTTATCTTCTTTCATCCATGTTTCTTCATTGCCAAGGTGGAGTAATAACACCTGTTCTAGCTGTCGTTCAGGGCCATATCAAGGATAAAATGAGATGATAGTCTGGAACGTTCTATGTGAACTTAAAATATCTTACAAATGTAAAATCACTGTTGTACCTAAAAGCACACTCATTGGAATTACTATTTCTACAGGCAGCAAAGAACTAACCTTCTTTAATTGCGACCTCCTTTGTCTGCATTACTTTTAATAAACAGTTAGCTTTTTCCAACTGCATATCCAGTATATTGTTCTTTCCACTGGTTTCTATTATTTTCTGTAGAAGAAACAGAATATACATTATTACCACATCAATGCTGCTATTTTGATTTTTGTACCTAAGGACATGAAGACTAATGAAAATACAAACCATTTAATACCTGAAAGTCTAATAACTAAGTCTGGCATATATTTTTAAACAAGCCAACTTCCAAATTAATTTTAATTTAATCAATAATTTGGTAAAAAGTTAAAACAGACTAATAGTTATGAAAAGTAAAAATCAGACTAACTTGAACCTCCTTCTTTGCAACTATTCAACCCTCAGTCCTACAGTTAACAATCCCTTATATATGTTTCCAAAATATTTTATGACTATACAACTACAGGAAAGGGTTATATTATACTCTGTTCTGCACCTTGGATATTCCACTGGGTACTATTTTCTTGTAGTCATATAAGTACATAAAAGTCTACCTTATTCTTTTTAATAGCTGCATTGTGTTTCATTCATGAATATAACTTATTTAAATAGTTCCCTATTGAGGAAAACTTGTGTTGTTCCCAGTTCTTTGCCATTACAGACAAAAGATAAGTAGTCTTGAACACATCTCTATGGTATCTTTGTGAGTGATGTAATAGCTGCCACATACCTTTAAAACACTTTAAAAAAATCAATTCATGACCTGTCTTGTATCATCTATACCTCTCACCATTCTCAATTTCCCTATTTTCATCTGTTCTGAATTTATCTCAAATTAACTCCTTGACATTATTATTTCATCCATAAATATTATCATTTATACACATCTCTAAGAGATAAAACTCTTAAGAATTCAATCATAATGCCATTATCATATAAGAAATGAACAACAGTTCTTATTTAAAGTGTATAAGAATATGAGATATTTCCAAATTAATCTCCAAAAACTTTGTACCAATTCCTCTCCTACCAAAGTGATTTTTATTCCCTTCTCCTCTCTTATTTTGGTAAGAATCACTTGGTTAAGAAAACCCAAGTTCACTGTTTAAAAAAAAGCTCATGTTATCTCAAAATACCCATCATCATGAAAATTCTTTTATTATGTCAATACTACATGGTACAGAGGAAAAGAAGGAATAGAGGAGAACGATAAGGACAGAAAATAGAGGTAGATATTATTCCCCCTTCTATTATTATTTCACAAACCCACTTCCCAAATCTTTGTCCTACATTTCTCAACAGCTATTCCTACTCCTCTCACAGGCAGAGGAGGGGAGGAAAAGACCTAATAAATATTTGTGGTCACGGTCTACCATGTAATATGTCCAGAGACGGGGAGGAGGTCTTCAAATGGGTCTGCTTTTAGGCAAAAGAGAAGAAAAAGGGAACAGACAGAATAGAAAAGATTAAAAAAAATTAGTTAGCCATATGGTAAGAGATGGAGAACTGAGTCTACTTCAGTTTTTACTGAACCATTCTTGGGTTTATAGACATCCTGGACATTTACATATGTATTTTCTCTTTTACTTTAGCAAAAGTATATCACAATTATTTGTTCCTTTGCCCCCAAAGCATTTTGATGTGTTAGTATAAGTGAGCCAAAACTACATATATTTTAAAAACAGATTTAAAAAATGAGAGAGAAGGGGCTTAGCAAAATACATTTCCATTATTTTTACCTTTCTCATTTTTTTGGTACATTGTTCTTTCTCCCCAACTCCTTCCACTGGCAAAATTTGTTCCACTTTTCCTTATATTCTACAATTGTTTGATACCTTTACATACCTTTTCTATCTGTGAGAAGTCATTTATAAGTTTGTCAAGATTCACACTGCTAATCTTTTTCATACATCCTTCGCTGCTTTGATTCATATTTAAACTAGTAAAGAGCAGATAGTGTTAAAATAAACAAACAAAATCTAAAGCATTCTAATAGTGGTAATAGCTCAAATACTGAAGTTTCTGTACTATGCTCATGGAGCACCTACTTGAGCTCCATTGCACTCAGAGAATTTTTGTTCTACCCCCGTTATTAACAATGATCAAATGAGTTAAGGTTTCTCCACTCCTCTCCACCCCGACTCCAGCCAAGTTTTCTCTTAATCTAAAACTAGTGCAATTATATGTGCAAATGTAGAAATTATTTGTCTCTGTTATATGCAAAACTAATTATGCCACTGTTCAACACTCACCTCTTTGCCATCACTATGGCTGGACTTAAAATTGATGCATTACTAAATCTGATGCATGACTTTTAAATATAGGTATTTTCAACTTAAGATGTTTAAAATATTTAACTATCATGCTACAAATATTTATTTGCTGTATTTCTTGGTAGTTTGCTTATTGCTAGGAATTGAATTGTGGTTCCCCCCAAATTCTTATTTTGAACCTCTAAACCACAATGTGACTGTATTTGCAGATAGAGTCTGTAAGAGATAATTAAGGTTGAATGAAGTCATAATGGTTTGAGCCCTAATCCAAGAGGACGGTGGACTTATAAGAAGAGGAAGAGAGAGAGTGGTCTTGTTCTCTCTCCATATGCTCACACTGAGGCTAGGCCTTGTGAGCACACAGTGAGAAGGTGGCTGTCTGAAACCCCAGCAGAAGAGCCCTCACCAGGTATCAGTCTTGTTGGCACCTTAATTTTGAACTTCCCAGCTTTTAGACCTGTGAGAAAACAAATTCTGGTTGTTTAAGCCATCCTGTGTGTAGTATTTTGTTACAGCAGGCTGGAGACAAATACAATTATTTTGCACATTTTGTTTGATAATGTGGTTAGTAAATAAAGGACATATGGAAATTAATATGCTCAAAACAATCACTTCATATTTCGATTCTCTTATTTTGTGTAAGAGTGCCTTTGGGTATAGCCAACTAACTGTTGAAGTGAAGAATAAGTGTTTCAGTTTTAGTTCTATAGAACCAATCATAAGAAATTCTGAAGAATTTCAAAGGTAAACTCATCTAGTTAGGATGGGGAAACTGACTTTTGCAAAACAGCAAGCATTTACATTTGAGGGTGGGAGAGTGTCTAGAAGAATCAGGATTAATAAAATCTGTAAGTATGAGACACTTGTCTTCAGACTCTTCTCCAGCAAAGGGGAAGGAGAAAATACAAATTTGAAATTTAGGCATTCTAGATTGAGGAAAGAGCATGTGCCAATGCCTGGTGTGTGAAAGTGGTAGTGACAAGTAGTTCAAAGTAAAAGGTAAGTCAAATTCCTAAAGTAATTACTCAAAGTAATTTTGGGGACATATTACAGTTTAAAATTAAAATTTTGGTACACCAAAATATAGCCATTGCTTGATAATTTGTTACTTCATAAAGAAATCCTATTTCCCTTCTCTTTTTATATTATATTGCATTAGTGGTTTTTAAATCTGAGAGAATTTTAGCTATGTGTTTTCAGTTTATTGAATTATTATCCTCTGTATCACATATACCAGTAAAGCTCTTAAATAGTTAAAACTTGATCCTTAAGACAGGAGACTAACTGTAATGGGATCCCATAATAATACAGTGTAAAATTCCTTTTGAGATAAAACTTAGAAATCATCACTATTTTATATACTGTTACTGTTTACTAGACCTATAGAAAATCTGAAGTAGTTAATGCAAAAATCCTTTTTTTTTCCGTTTTAGTTCCTAACATTTTAGATAAAAAAATTTTACTAGAGGGTTTCCTCTCAGAACCTGGCTCCTGAACTAATTTCATTTTAGTTTGAGCTTGACTACTTCCATCTCCTTCTCCCTAATGAGACTTTGAGGTGTTTTTCCTTATAAAACCATCACTAATACTCCACTGACCGTTATCGCATGATACCCCTTTTGTCACACTAGCCGAGCCGTAAGATTATTTTTAGGTGACTTCATGGCCCCTCCCCAATGTACGAGGGACAGGGTCAGGATCTCTTCAGCCGGTATGGTCTTCTTGCCCAGTGAACCAGGTTACAAGCTAGTGAGTGACTCAGTGCTTGTCAAATTCTGGGCGAGAAGCACAGACTGATTTGTGAGCTTCACGGCCCCCAATTCAACGTCCCCCAATTCAACGTCCCCACAGTGCGCGGCAGCCGCATACCCTTCCGCGCCCTCCCCTCCCCTGCGTCCGGGATGCCCCCTCCGGGCCCCGCCCCAGGACGGGCTCGCGTTCCCTCCCTCCGCCCTGGCCGGCCGCCCGCCAGCCGCGAGTTCACCCTCAGTCCCCAGGCCCGGTCCCGGTTCCCTCCTCCCGCATTCCAGGGCCCACAGGAGTCCAACTCTACGGCGGGACCCGCATCCTGGGGCGTGCGAGGAGGAGCTGCGTCCAAACCCTGTTCCGAACCAGGAGACCATGCGGAGGTGTGACGTAAAGAATATCCACAGAAAAGGCGGGAATTTCGAACTCGCCGACAAAAGGTCTGGGCGTACCTGCTGTCGCTCATGGTTCCTCACACTCTCCCCCGCATCCCCTTCCTGGTGCGGTCCGTCCCTGACTGCTGTCCCCTCCCGGGGAAGCGGGTTCCCCCAGCAATGGGCCCGCCTTCTCCCGGCCCCACCTGCGCCCTGCCCTAGGACCCCGCCTCCAGCTTCACCTCCTTGGGCTTCTTAGGGATTTTCGTGTAGTTTCTAGAATGTGATTCAACACCTAGTGACTGTCAGAGCAATCATTATTTTCCAAGCAAAGAATAAATCACATAGCGTTAAGTTTTGATTAATGAGTCAGCACTATTGAATAAATAATAATCCGTATTAATTCTAGTAACAAAGCAGGCTTATAAAGCACTAGACACTGTATTAGGTGACGGAGATGAAAGCATGGATATAATGCAGTCTGTTCAGTCCAGAGTCAGTCCATGGATATGCTTCCCTTCTACAGTTTTGTCTTGGTAGCTTAGTGGTAAAGGGCAAGGGTTCTGTGTGGGTTCAAGTCCCAACTCTTCTGTTTACCAACTGGGTGATGGTGGTCAAGTTCTTAATTATACCTGCCTCAGCTTCTTTATCAGTAAAAATAGACATTAATAATGCTTATGTCTAGGGCTATTTCAATGTTCAAATTAAATGATACATTTTAAAAGTGCTTAATACACTTTCTGGCATAAGGTAAGTGTTAAAAATATAATTAAAAAATTCTGTTCAATAACTGAAAGTGTATCTACTGCCAGCTTTGCTCTATGTACTTTTTTTTTTGAGTGGGAGTTGGGAGATTTATTTTGATTAATTTTATTTTTCTATAAAACCCAAAATTTGGCAAGCAGAAAAATGTAAACTGTAATAGGATACTTCATCCTTTATTACTGGAAAGGAATTGTAGCATGTGTGGGAGAACTAGGTCAAAGTGGGAAGTGGGGGGTGGAGTCCTCTTTCTGTTGCTAACCAGTTAGGAATCTTGGGAAGGTGGGTTAATCTTCCCAAGTCTTTTTCTTTTTTTTTCATTTTTAAAGTAATAGAAGCAGACTAAATTGTAGAGATAAAATTTCAAGATTTTAAACTGGTCTTATGGTAAAACATTGCTCATCAAAATGTTTTGGAAATGTTATTTTATCATTTTCTTTACCTTATTAATTTCAAAAAAAAATTCACACGCACACATACACACCCCTAATTTAATTTTTAAAGATCTTTCAAGAAATGAAACTGGAAACTCTGGCTACCCAAGAAGGTTTTTCTTGACATTAGTAACAACACATAGGGACATTGAAAATGGCCTTTTGAATTGCTCGTTCTATCCAATTAATATTTATAAAATGTTCTATGTCACTTATATCCTAATGTTACCGGGAGGAGGAGGGGAATAAGATACTTCTGTTCTTAGTCACCTGAAAAAAATGAATTCTTAATGAGAGACAGAAAGTGTGATATAAACAGAAGATTTTAATAGTGAAGTAAAAAGGTAGTAAAATACAGTACACCCCTGAGAATTGGGGGCAGGCCAATCTAAGGGAGGAAAAATGGCCCTGCTTCTTTGTTTTTCTTGTTCTTATCCTGGCTTAGGGGGCGTTTACATGATTGATTGACGGCTTACATTCTATGAGTGCTCAGGCACGTCCATGTCTTTTATGCATGTTTTACCCATGATGCACACAGAGAAACCTATGAGAGGGGGCTGAAACTGCAATGTTAATTACATTATAATAAACATTGGGTCAAGTTAAGATGATTCCTTCTCTCTACTGTGCAGTCGCAGCGTTTGATTATAGCCAGCTTCTTTGCTGGCCCTCATTTAGAGAAAGTAAAAGTTTTTGGAGCCCCTTATCCTGAGCGCAGGTACGCTGTTATTTTCTGGGTTGCTGCCTCCCCCTTCCTCTCCCCTGCCTGGTGCTCATTTCTATCTAACTGCCTAACACTAATAGATACTGAAACAAGCCCCTTTAAAGACCCATCTAAAATGCTACCTTCTCCATGAGGCATTCACTAATCTTATCAATCAGCTAATTTCCTTACTATTTGCTTACTATTTTTCCTTACTGTTTGCTTCTGTTACACTTTGGACCATGCTGGCTTTCTTGTGGCATTTGTTAGGGCTATTTGAATTGATGTCTTTTCTCTCTGGCTGTATTATCTGCTCCTTGGGGAAAGCAACTCTAATATATATACATAGTGCCAGCTTAATCAGAATAAATAGAAATGAACCGACATAGCAGAAACAAATCATGAAAATTTAGTTTGATTTTTCTAATTTGAAATGAGGCACAAGCTCCTCTTCCAGTTCATAGACATTATCATTTTTTGGAAAGAATCCTGCTGAGTTCAAAATATGTCCATCAATGAGAAACTATATGAGCTTCCCATGATTTCATCTTTAAAAAGGAAAAAAATGCCTTTCACAGTTGTATTCATAGTTTTGTTCATCAAAAACCATCTGTTTGAGGAACAGAAAGAACTCATTGAATATTTGCTCAGAAACTGCATGGAAAACTGTAAGAGAGAAATAACTTACGTTATTATGCCATACTAAGAAAGGGAGTATAAAGTAATGTTAGAATCCTTTAAAAAATACCTTGATTTGAAAATAAATGCACATGCACTCACACAATGGAAAAAAATCTGAAGCTACTGATTTATGTACGTAAGGATCTTAAGATGAAAGACA